AAGGATCACAGGTAAAATTAACATTACACGCTCAGGTATCTTGCGCCTCCAATACTGCGCGCAGGCAGATGAAGAATGTAAGGCCCCGAACCCAACAGCCTGTACATTATATCTGGTTTGGGCTAACCCCATTCTACACAGGCACGTCAAACCGTGGCGTCACCTGATATGCCAGCTTCACAGCTGACCGTAGCAGTAGTCAAAACATGGAGAAAATCAATGTGTGTAAGTGGTGTGTATCTAAGAACATACAGGACATTCAGGGACATGTCCGGACATTAAGCCTAGGAAGATATTATGATTAAGATTACGGCTAAACATATCATAATAATAATAACAATAATCATCCTGCCTGCTGACAATCAAACTTTTCTATCTAGTTATCCTTGACCATGTACACCCTGCTAAAATCTCATGACAATGACTAAGCGTTTAAACAGTCTAACTAGACATCCTGTCTCCACTAAACATTTCTAATACAACAAGTACCTAACCAATTTCTATCTGACTAAAAAAATACCTAACAGTGTCCTTTAGTGAAGCAGTTTTATTGTTGCTTACATGTATTACATGCCGTCAGATTAGCATGTTAAAGGGCCAACCGCACATGGGCCTTTGCATCTCCAAGGAGAGAAAGCAGAGGAGGAGGGGTGAAGCCAGGGTCCATTTGTGCTGTTTTTCTGCCCCTCTGCATCTGTTTCAGCCACCCTCACCCCGCCTGTCTCCCCTTACCTCTCACTCCCTCTCTTGCCTCACTTACTGGTCGGTAGGCAACAATTTAGAGGAAGTATTCAGGGTTAATGGTTTGAAAGCGTCAGCTGGATGCCTGGGAGGCGCACACAAGCCGTCAGTAAAGGTCATCGCTCTTCACTGCATCCCAAGTTGTCTGGCTGCTTTAAGGCAGAAGCCCACCACATGACTTTAAGCCCAGTTATTATCACAGTTTAACCATTTGATGACTGATTTGACTGACAGGTCTAGGCAGAGGTGGAAACCAACTGTATATAATATAATGCAGATGAGTAGATTTGTCATGTACCTTTCTGACTACCAGTAATTCCTCTTTCTATCTGGATTTTTTCCTTGAAGTTTTCCATGCTACATGTTTCTATGGTGATGGCATTGACACTATGTAGGTCTGTTGTTCTACCTTTGGTTCAGTCTGAAATAGATACACAGAAACATGATGATCTGTGTGGTATAAATACTGCTACACTGATGGGGAAACTGGAAACATTTGTGACTGTGTGGGAAAAGCCAGGTGTCTAGAACTGGAGGGAAGGTTGTGGCTACTTCTGGACTTAAGTAGTTTGTAACGGCTGTACTTCTGTTTGGTCAGTATGAAAGTCGAGTAATAATATTTCTACCCGAGGAAGATATTGTGCACTGGACATGCACAAGAGAGGACATATCACCATGGATACTTGGCATACATTTTATTGTACAAACCAGTCTGAAAAAGACGGTTGTCAAATGGATCATTTCAAAGTCTTCTTCAGCCACAGTGTGTGTCTGTGTTTTAGTGTCTTATCACTTGAAACTTCTTGGCAGTGGGGAGTGACGGGTACGCTGCTGGATCAGACTGTGTGTGTAGACCTGTGCTGTGTGTTGGTGTGTGTACTGTGGCAGTGGAGTAGCCTGCTGTGGCCTATTAAGAGTCACTTCCTTTACGACCACAACTTTGTATGACTGAGAGGAAGAAGCTGACCGCTGCCTGCTGATTTAGTGGCTGATCTCTGGACCTCTCTGCAGGACTGTCCAACACATTGATTGACAAACAAACAGACAGAATCATGGTGCATTTACTCTCTCAGATAATATGCTGACAGCGAGGAAAGGAAGGAAGTTTGTCCACATGCACATTTTCCACATCTCTTCAAACATGCTGCTGTCGCTGGGGTGACTGTGGTTCAGTGGGTAGAGCAGTCGTCTCCCAACCAGAGGGTTGGCAGTTCAAATCGCAGGGCTATTGCAATACCAGTTCAAGACATATGTTCCTTTCCTCTTTTTAAACTG